ATGCAATATCTGAAGACTGAAGGTTTGGTTTTCTTTTTTCAGAAATATTTTTTCTTCCTAACATAATCTTACAAGTTATTTAAGAGTTTATACAAAAGGGTCAGCAGCCTTCAACTACCAATTGTGATCTCTCTCTCTCTCTCTCTCTCTCTCTCTCTCTCTCTCTCTGTGTGTGTGTGTGTGTGTGTATGAAAGAGAGAGTTTTCTCAAGTCCATTGATCAGAGCAGAAGATATTTAATGGATTTACGATTAATGTTTATGATTAATGTTCAGAATAATAACACGATGTCACACTTGTATTTTGTATGGTGGGATGCTGCTGACTTTGTGGAGGGCAACTACTTTGTTTCTTCCTTCTGTAGTGGTAATAACTGTGTCTTTAACTATTCAGACTTAGTTCTCTAAAAATTGAAGAGTAATTGTATCTGGAGTTTGAGGTTCTGCATTTTTAGGTTTTTATCAAGCCCAAAGTATACACTCTGTGGTATTAATCACCTTAGTGTCCTCTAGGGCCTGAGTCAGTGTAGCTGAGCCAGCCCATATTATTGTTAAAGATACAGCTCATGCTAGGTACCCTTTTGACCCGATGCACGTGAAGCTTTTTCTTTGTAGTGTTCTGGAATGGCTAACATTAACGAATGCCATTGGAATAGAGGCAGTTCCTTCAAGCATCTATGCTTTAACTGTCATTTATTTCCAATTTGAGGACATATCAGGGGATCCGTGGTTGTCCAAGGTCTTTATCGTCTATTAAAGCCAGTAATGCTTTTGCAGAAACAAAATTGACAAAACTTGTGTACTCTTTAGTCTGAGCACATTTCTCCCCGAACAGAAAGCACTAATGAGTTGACTAAGTTGGGTCTCGTCAATTGACTAACTCCATCTTTTTGTTTTCCCTGCCACTTTTGGGGTGTGACAGAGGAGGGACTAGTGGCCAGGGTGTGTCATTTTACAACAGCATATGGAGAACAATATGGTAGCCCAGCATGGCTGGTTAAAAATAGAGCAGTCTAAGGTCACTGACTTGAGTCTGTGAAATGCCCAAATCTCCCTGGCTTTTGGTAATGGCCTTGTACTCCCCTTTGCCCTGGGGAGAAATAGAATGAGCCAGTGCATATACTACCCAATTAGCAGAGTTAAACTCTTTAAAAAAAATAGCATCTCTTGAGATGAAAATTGTGCTATCTCCCATTATGTTTGTGACTTGATGACAGACAAAATATTTAATAATGTAGAAATATCATCGATTCCATTTCTTGATTTAATGCTTGTTTCGGCTCTTCAGACTGTCTCTGGGAATTGTAACAAATGCTTCTTCCAGCTTCACTTTTTAAAAATGTGTTTTGAAGCCAGGCAGTGGTGGCACACATCTTTAATCCCAGCACTTATGAGGCAGAGGCAGGAGGATCTCTGTGAGTTTGAGGCCAACCTGGTTTACAGATTGAATTCCAGGATAGCCAGGGCTATACGAAGAAATCCTGTCTTGAAACAACAAGTGTTTTGCTATGGTATTCATAAGTATGGAATTAAAGTTCAGTTGAATCCCTGTTTGGAAATAAAACTTTTTGGAATTATTCCCAAGAAAGGCAACTTTACTGTAATTTCTTCTTGGTGGATTTAAGACACTGTTGACCCGAGTCAGAACAGTCAAATTCTAGTTAGCCTGAAGATCAAGCTGGGCCCAGATCATGCCTTCTGCCTATATATCCTCAAAAGCAAATGGCCATTATAAGTTAAGGATGCTTTCTTTCTTTCTATTTTTTTTTTAAAGATGTGTGTTGTTACTTAATGGTACGAAAGTCTTTTCTTTTTGTTATCTCCATGTGAACTGGCAAAAGGTGTACTTGTGGGGTAAGGTGTAGTGCCTGTGCAGTGATAATTACAACGCACAAATAAACATACCTATCACCTGAGAAATTCTTCTTTTTTTCTCATGTATTTACTCTTGGAATTTTTCTTTTTTTTTTTTTTTTTGATTTTTTGAGTCAGGGTTTCTTTGTGTAGCTTTTAGACCATGCTTTCCTTGAACTCACATAAATCTGCCTGCCTCTGCCTCCCCAATGCTGGGGTTAAATGCCTGTGCCACCACTGCCCAACTAACTCTTGGGAAGTTTTAAGCAGTGCACACTATATTATTTGGCACAATTGCCTTCCTATGTAATAGATCTTAAAAAGACCTTCCAACAAACTTGGCCCACCTTGACCTCTGTCTCTATTCTCTTGTATCATATAGCCTCTGGTAACGACCATTCTCCTCTATACTTACATGTGTTAGGTTGGAAGGTGTGTTTGTGAGCATATGATGTTTATTCTCTAAAGACCTGGCTTATTTCATTTCATCTATGTTGCAAATGAAAGACATTCTTTTATTACAGGTTGATGAGTGTTCCATTTTGTATATATAACTCATTTTTTCTACCCGCCTGTTAATGAATTAGCTGGATGAATTTGGCTGTTACCAAACATGATGCAGTGTCAGTGGTGATGCTGCTTGTCCTTTACTAAGTCTTCTGGAGATTAAAAGGATGGAGTAGATAGTAGCTGTGTGGTGGGACCCTTACCTTACCTAGCAAACATGGGGTTCAAGGTTGCTTTTCCTTCCCAATCTCTGATTCTTGTGGATCTCCTATATTTGAAGATTGCTCGTTATTATCTCATGAGATTTTGAGGCTAACCATCATGTTTTGGCAAACAGAAATAAACCTTCTCAGAATAAAGAGGGTTTTTGTTGTTGCTGTTTTTCCATAGAAATACTCCAGTCAGTCACTTTGCTTCTTTTTTAAAAAGTATTTTTCAATTGTGTTTGGAGACAAAAGAATCATTTGGGGTGTTATCACTTGTGCTCCAAAGTGTTACAATATTCCTGGCTAACCAAAAAGGAAGCTTCTACAAAGGAAACAAGTGTTCCATCTCTTCAGATGTCTTTGTTGGAATCCAGAGTTGAGCTGACATCTGACTGAGGGGGAAAGCAGTCCTGACAGGGTGGCCAAGCCACTGCCACCTGAGTGCTGACACCAGTGCAGTGAGCAGTGCTCAGCCCCAGAATGACTCCTCTTCCACTGTCAGAGAACAGTTGCCTTTCATCTGTCGAAGGTAATGTCTCTACCTTTCAATACCTGAGCAGTGAGGAATAGGGAAGAGGAAAACAATGGAGTGGAATGTTGTGTTATGGGCGGGGAAGTGAGTAAAGAACTAACAGGAACCGATTAAGTCCAGTACTGAAGGATATGT